GCGTTCTCTAAATTCTTCCAGTTGCTAAGGACATTTTGTTTTGTTATTAATATTTGTTTAATATTTTTTTTGAAAATTCCAACAATTTATTTATTGAAAAAAAGTTTGAACAAAGTAACTATAAACAATTTTTTCTATCCTCTGCCAGCCGCAATGATGGAGAAAGCATTACCTCGAACCATCGCCAGTAAGACACGCTGCAAGAGCCACTCCGTTTCGCGAGTCTCGTCCCTTAATCGAGACGCAATCGCGCCAATGCTCCTAAGAAACGACATCGAACGAGGGCCAATAACCCCAGAAGTCTCCACTGCCACAGGAGTAAAAAAAAAAAAAAATTTATATACCAGCAAGAGGAGAATATTTAACTATTTTTTTTTATCTCTGCGTCCCGGGCGACGGACCCCAGCTCAACCGCGGACCTGATCAAATTACCGACCGAATCCGCACAGATTGCGTCTTAAATCAACGACTTCCCCAAGGGAAAATGGTAATGCCATCCGGACTATTTCCACGTTCGAGGCCTGTGGTTTCGATTCGGAAAGGGAATCAGTAAAGTTTAATAAATTCATTTTGTTTTTGCCTTGAAAAAGTTCACATTGGACGAAACGCGTCGGCAACTATTACAGTTTTCCTATTGTCTTTTACATTTATAAATTATCTGTGTTATTATCATCATAACTGTAGTATCGTTGCCACATTTCACCTGAAGTTTCCTCTCTTTCCACCATGACAGAATTTGAAATCGTTTACGCTGTTTTGTAGGTGATAAATTATTTTCAACGCTATCTTAGAGACTCAACGTTGCGAGACTACCGCTACTCTATCGCTATTTTCATGTTCAGACGAGCTACATAACAGTTCAGAGCTTTAGAGCTAAGTTCCGCCGTGCCATGTACAAAGGGGCAGCTTCTCCTCAAGAACTGCTTCCTTGTGAAACAGATCCCCAAGTGAAAGCTTCCTCTACCACTAAAAAGTTAACCTGTTCAAGACAGGATTGAACCGCCCTCTATCTAACATATAATAATTTTGTCATAAATGATCTATTTATTCGATCGAGCTAGCTCGGATATTCATGAATCTATCACGCTAACCATCTCAGTCAGCAATCAAGTTCTGAAGGTTGGTATTCTGTGTCAGAACATAGCTGGTCAATGTAGGTGAATGCTGGGCGACTAGTCCGTCTTGCGCCATGGCTAGGTATCTATAGCAGTAGATCACTCACTCTTGTTTTGTTCACCACAAGTGTCCTGTAGAGCGCATTCTGCATTCCCGTAAGATTATAGAAATGTCAGGGATAGGTGCATAAAACTGATTTTATTAGATGTTATCTCCAAGAGATGTAGCTACAGCTATCAGCATCCAAGTGTAGGTTCCATTACGCTTAGACTCTAGGGTTTTAGTCAATGTCAAATCACTGGCACCATATATTAAAACCGCCTCTACAGTGGCGTGAAAGTATCTCCGTTTAAGGTTGCCTGGTAGCTCAGATTTCCAGATTAACTTCATTTTATTGAAGGCGGCCAAGGCTTTAGCTATGCGAATTTTCATATCATTTCAGTAGGATTTAATTGGCTTCCTACGTATGTAAAAGATTCGATTATATTTATTCACTTGAGACAGTGTGTTTTGAACCTATCTGGCTGAAGCTTTTGAATTCTGTTTCGAAGTATTGAAATACAGTCCAATATCGTTGATAGCATTTTGTAGATGATGTAGGAGAACTGTGGCATTGGTAATGATGTCTGCAGAGATAACTAGGTCATCTGCATAGTCAATATCTGTCAACTTTTTTGCAGGATATTTGAGAGTCTTGGTGATAAACTAAAACCTAGATGATGATGTTTGTGAAAGAAAGTGTTCAATGCGTATTCAAGGGAGATAACAAAGAGAAAAAGGTACAAGGGTGTTACCCTGAAGAAGCCCTGCTTTGTTGTCGAAGTAGTTAGTATCTTCGTCTGGGGATCTAACCAAAAATTTGGTATTTCTGTATAGCATCATTACGACAGAGTTTCAGTGGTGATGCTATATGCCAAAAAGGTCTTCTGCTTTTCCCCTTATATACAGAATGTAAGACATTTTTCCTCGAATTCAATATGTCCTCTTTCCTCATTTTGTGCCCGTGAAATTTCAACTGTCTCTTTCTGATGTTAAGCACAAATGTTCAGTTCATGGTATTCTCAGCATCCTTCTGTAGAACCACATTTCCGTTTCTTCAACTGCTTTATTTTGATGTTGCCAAAACATAACTGGCACTTTGGGGTTGCCTATTTTGCTGATTGTGGTATTGGTAATTATGTAAGCCGTGATGGCGAGTCCGTCTACAATATCTGTCATCATTTTGCAGGATATCGATTTGAGAGTCTTGGTGATAAAGTGTAACTCAGATGATGATGTTTATCGAGGTAAGTTCTCAATAACGTAGTAAAGGGTGGTAACAAGGAGAAAAGGTGCAAGGGTGTCACCCTGAAGGACTCCTGCTTTGTTGTCCAAGAACCTAGTGCCTCCGTCTGGGGATATTTACGTGAACATGAAGCTGAGAAAATAATTGGTGAGTCAAAACAAGCAGGCAACACCGGAGCTGAATCCACGCAAGTGAATGAACTGCGTTTAATCGGAGTAGCATGGACTAATTTACTATGAAATGTTTCAAAACAACCAAACGGCAAATGCTAAGCTATCTTTAAACAAAGAGGCAATTCAGGTGGAAAGATCTAACCGGCGAATTTTTCATTCTCTTCTAACAAATTGAGGGTATTTTTTTCAATAACGATGTGGCGCTTAAAACGTGGTTTGATGAATTTTCGAGTAAAAACTTAGTGATTCCTATCGTCATGGCATTGAACAGAAAAAGATGGAAAGTACATGGGAAATTTTCACTGATTTTCTCTGTTACAGTGCATTTCTTGACTCATTTGATTGTAATATACGAAAAAATATTCGTGAATATGAAAGGATCATGATAAAAATAAGCAAACATAATGTTTGTAATTTATTCAATCAGACATGCCTAAAAGAGAATTTGCAGCCTAAATGCAATATATATATATAGCTATGAGTCTAGAAGAATCCTCAACAGAATGCAGAAAGCAATCGACGGCCGTTTCGTCCTATCTAGGACTCATCACAGCGCGCATCCACTACCAAGAATCGAACCCGGACCGTTTCGATACAACGCATACGCCATACCAACTGTACCACGGGACTCGGTGACGAAGAAGACACAAACTAGACTCGATATAGCGTGCTACTCACTCAGTTCCGCAGTGATACTCATCCAAGTATTCAGATAACCTCGGAACAGTGTCTTTTCGTCGCCAGTCACATGTCTATCCAAAAAAGGTGAAACAAGTTGACGAGAATGGAGAGAAGAGCAGATGTTAACTCGGGATTTGAGGTTGTTTTCAGACACTTCATTAGGCACCCATTTTCCAAGTTTAGGAACTTTTCCAAGTTGTTGAAGATGACGATGAACAGTTGTATGGTTTGAACTGAGAACCACAGCCAATTCCTCAACTGATAAAGCAGGATATTCTTCAAGGGCTACTTCAAGAAGCTTTTCATCAAACTCAACTGATCGTCCGGTTCGATCTTTCAACAATATAAATAAAAGAAATCAGACATCTCTATCTAAATATTTTTGGCATTTGAAGGAAATGAATAAAACACCAAAAGTAAAATGGAAGATTATAAACAAAACTAGAACTTGTAAAACTTGGGATGACCCATGCCCTTTGTGCCTACATGAAAAACTACACATTAAGTTTCTAAATAATAAAAATCTACTAATCAATAGACAGGAGTTAACGGTTTTTTGTCGACATCATCAAATTTTTGCAATGAATAATTAGCATAAAAAGAAAACAACAATAAAATAATTTTTAAATTCCATAGTCCTAATAAATAGTTTAAATGCCCTACTAAAAAAGATAACCCTTTATGAAGTCGTCAAAAAACAAATGTTAACGATTTACGACAGTTTTTATATACACAAAACCCTTTCAGAAAAAAATAAAAAATAAAATAAAAAAATAAATAAATCTCCATAGACAGTTAACCACACTAGACGATGTCATCTTCCGCTATAAATTTAGACACCTCAACCTTACCCTGACTTGACATCTGGGAATTTAACTGAGATATTGATACAAACTATTAACACCTTACGCCACTTTTGTTTAAACAATTGCTCTAGCCGTTACCATAGACATTTTGATTTCAATAATGAATATGCTTATAAAACGCGTAAATTTCAGAAATAAGTTATTCCAAAAAAAAAAAAATATCGCCTGAAGATGGAACTTAATACTTTAATTCAATTTAATTCCAATAATTATATTGAAGTTTTCGGCTCTTGTTTTGAAACATGAGAACTCTTATGTAGCGTATTGGAATCATATTTTAAATAAATAATTATATATATATATATATATATATATATATATATATATATATATATTGCGACTGAGTAGTGAGTTCGATCTTCACTGGGTACCCTATACTTTCGGCCTTGTGCCACATCTGAGCTACGCTTGGAAAATCACTATATATATATATATATATATATATATATATATATATATATATATGGTGATGTTTTCCAATAAATATATTAACATTTTTCAATTGATTGATTTATTCTGAATTACTTGGTGTATCCAGCACACGAGTTTAATTTTTAAAACATTGAGTATATATAAATATTATTATATAAGTTTAGTATATAAGTAAAGTTTTAAAATCACTAATGACACTCAAAACATTTTTAACGTCTTGGTTTATTTTAGTATCATTGTATAATGGACTACATTAATAAATTCTTGAACGCTGATTATCTTTCAAATTATCTGCGACTATCCAATTAGTTTCCTGTCACTTTGAATATAAAACTTTCTCCGAACCTCTGATTACAATCTGCGTTATTTTCTAAGCTTCTAACGTGTGTGTGTGTGTGTAGAGACTGTGCTATGCGAGTGTGGTCGAATCCAACATGCGGCAGCCAGATGCCTCGGTGTCATAAATTATCATCTCTCTCCAACCCAATCTGTTATGGTCTGCCATCTGCAGACCATAGTCATGTCCATCGAGCCCTCCGGTCATTTTCAGCAAACCGACTTTCGTGCTCGCTGCGTCTATCTCCATTGCCGCTGATTCTGACAGTTGACTTTCTCACCTCGCTCGTAGATTTGTCTCAAACCGATGCACAACTTGCTTGCCATGAGTAGTCCGGGAAGCAAATGGCTCGTTGATCTGTTACTTGGGGGGAGATTCGATAAATGGCTATAAATCTTCTCCCTTCTGTGCCGTATCCCAACAGTTATTGGCGGTCTCTCGAAAAACTTTCGGCGGACTGATTTTTCTGAAACAAGTAAATTTCCAAATATTTTCCTCTTATTTTAGGGGTCCAATGCAAAAACAATATTGTGTATTGTCTGTTGTTTTATTATTTATATATTTATCTATCTAGTTAGCTAGCTTTCTCACTCCGTTCATATCTATCTAACTATCGATCGGTCTATATAGGGATTTTTAAGCGTAGCTTAGATGTGACACAAGGCAGAAAGTGCGGAGCATCCAATTAGGATCGAACTCACAACTCAGTCGTAATTGTTCTTTATCGTTCTATATATCTATCTTAGTCTGTACATATCTATCTATCTAGCTAGCTATCTTTGTTCATATCTAGCTATTTAGCTAAGTCTTTACATATATATATATACATATATATATATATAGAGAGAGAGAGAGAAAGAGAGAAAGAAAGAAAGAAAGAAAGAAAGAAAGATGAAGAGAATGAAAAAATAAGTATATCAGCAGATATGCTATATGAAAATCGCAAAAATAGAAGAAAAATGAAGCTTGTAAGGCAAAATCTATATGTAGCTACCCATTCGTGACTTTTTTCTTTTGCGTTTAAAATTAAAATAATGGGTAGCTACACATACAAGTTGCGCCCCTGATGATGATCTTAGAAAAAAATGGAAAGTACATGGGAAATTTTGACTGATTTTCACTGTTACAGTGCATTTCTTGCCTCATTTGATTGTAATATAAGGAAAAAATATTCGTGAATATGAAAGGATCATGATAAAAATAAGCAAACATAATGTTTGTAATTTATTCAATCAGACATGTCTAAAAGAGAATTTGCAGCCTAAATGCAATATATATATATATATATATATATATATATATATATATATATATATATATATATATATATCTTAGTTTGTTTATATTTCCCTAGCTATCTTAGTCTGTTTTTATATCTTTCTCATTCCGTTCATATCTATCTTTTTATATATAGTCTGTTCATATCTTTCTTAGTTTGTAGATATCTATCTATCTATCTATCTATCTATCTATCTATCTATCTATCTATCTATCTATCTATCTCAGTCCGTTGATATCTATCTATGTATATATCTCAGTCTGTTCATATCTATCTATCTATCTATCTATCTATCTATCTATCTATCTATCTTAGTCTGTTCAAATCTATCTATCTATCTCAATCTAAACATATCTATTTGGCTTACGGCCAAATCACTTGGAAACACCGGTTCTCGTACGATCACCGAAGTTAAGCAACCTCGAGCCTGGTCAGTAGCTAGATCGGTGTCCGCAAGGTGTTCCAAGCTTGGATGAGCGGGTAGTGTAATGGATAACGTCTCGAAATTGTAAAAGCTATGAATACATCTTTTCTCACACCACCTATGTGTTAATTAGTAAGTGTTGTGGATTCCGGGATGAAATCCGGTCTCAAATGAATAACAAACGCAGGAATGAAATATAGCAAATAAATGTATTGACGTAATAATACAATTGGTAATACGGTTAGTAGATCCAGAAATGCGGTTAGTAGCAATAATAATATATATACAGTCTGGGATATTCAGTATCGAAGTAGGACTTCCTTCTGAGCCTACGTGCTCGCAACTGTGACTCCTACAAAGCAGTTACCTCACACTCTCACTGTATCACTCTATCAGTGTATCTCTCCGTCTATGCTACTCCCGTGTATTCACCGGCAGCAGTACAAGTACACACTGGGTGAGTCCACTTGTATGAAAAAGGGGTGGACCATATAACAGTAAGGCTTTTATCAGTAAATCATTATTATCAAAAAAAAAAAAAATACGTACCATCTAAAAATATTTTCTGGCTTTAAATAACCGGCAAATGTTTGATAAGCCGTAAAAAACAAATTACTCGATCAATTAATATCTATCTATCTATCTATCTATCTATCTATCTATGGATGCATTTAGCACTACTTGGGAAGACGGCTGTGTTAGGAATTATGGAAATAAGCCTTAACAAAAGTACACCCTTTGGAATTCAGGGTGGTAGTAATAGATGGTAGCTCATACAACCACAGATTGTTATTAATTCTGCTTGGCAGAGGATCCTCACCAGCAACGACAAGGAGATAGCGTTTGCAAAGTTAAGGCACTGCAAATTTTAATATGAATTGCTACGGCTAATTATACCATGTTCACTTGGAATGCAACCACGGAACTTCATTAGTGATTGCAACTATTCGGAATAATTGAGGACGATTAGAAGAGGAGGAGGGAAATCTATCTATCTATCTATCTATCTATCTATCTATCTACCTATCTATCTATCTATCTATGTCTGTCCATATCTATCTATCTATATTAACTATCTAACTATCTCGGTCTGTTTATATCTATATCAGTCTGTTAATATCTATCTCTTTATCTATCTATCTATCTATCTATCTAGGTCTCTCTATATCTATCTCAGTCTGTCCATTATCTATCTATCTATCTATCTATCTATCTATCTATATATCTATCTATATATCTATCTATGCCAGTCTGTTCATATCTATGTCAGTCTGTTCATTATCTATCTATCTATCTATCTATGTCAGTCTGTTTCCATATCTATCTATCTAGCTATCTATCCAAGTCTCTTTATATCTATCTATCTAAATCTCTTCATATCTATCTATCTATCTATCTATCTATTTCAGTCTGTTTCCATATCTATCTATCTAGCTATCTATCCAAGTCTATTTATATCTATCTATCTAAATCTCTTCATATCTATCTATCTATCTATCTATCTATCTATCTATCTGTCTGTCTGTCTGTCTGTGGTATTGTCTCGGAATAGACATTGCGCTCAAATTTAACTAGGCCGTCAAAGGAAGCCAGATGCATGGTTGATGCGAGGTTACCCCGGCTACGGAATGCGGAAGTTTGTGAATTCACATATGCATTCATTATTGCAAGCATGTGAACGAGAAAATGTTGGACAAATGGATATATAAACAACCACAATTGGTAATTTCGTGTAATCTCTCACATATCACAAACAAGATGAAAGGTACACGTATCGAACGAGAAGCGCCCGAGGTCACCCGCATATCCCAGACTGGACGGGAGTAACTGACGAAAGAGAATTAAATGTTATGTAATCAAGATAAAAGCGTGAACTTTATTTTTTAAACACTTTATTACAATTGTAACTTTTATGTCGAAAAGAAACAACACTAAAACAAATCAAAATAACAATAATTAAAAAGTCATTGAAAATGCTATCTATCTAAAATGAGGTGAAAATATTTATTAAATATATTATCAACTAAATACATTAACCTTTAATTAATTATTTGCTCTAAAAGGTAAGCTGCCCAGAGCCGAAACGTAAAAGTGTTTTAAATCTACAAGATATATTGAGTGGAAGAAGTAACCTCCAAAAAATGTATTCGCCCGCAGATCTCCAATTCGTACGTTTTAATAATTGTACACTAGACTTTTTTTTTATTAATCATTTCAGGTCAAGAAAGTAAAAAAAAAACCACTAAGACGAGGTGGGGTTACTGAGTGTGAACGAACATAAGAAAATTAAGAAAAAGAAGACATTATTAAGGAGCAAGAAAAACAACAGAACAAGACCTAAGAAGACAAGATAATGGTTAACATTCATTTTGACGATCAAACTTGACTGCCAATCAAGAAGCCAGAAGAGATGTCCATAAGCGAGAAGTGCGAGAGAAGAAACTCTGAATAAAACCTAGATTTTATGAAATTAAGCGCTGTGCTAGATTGGCGGATAGGTCTCATGATTTTACAGTTGAAATGGTTAGATGTAACTCTTCAACTGTAAAATCATGAGACCTATCCGCCAATTTAGCACAGCGCTTAATTTCATAAAATCTAGGTTGCATACTTGTTTGCTAACAAGTCATCCGCAGTGATAATGCATTGACGCAGTCAAGATTATAAAGTCATTGTTCTTGTCGATAACATCAAAGAACTTGATAAGTCAGGGCTTTGCATTCAGATGTGTTTTTTCTTCTAGACTGGTTGCCACCCAAGTCTGAAGAGCCCGGTACACACTACTATTTAACACATAGTAAATGGTGGTGGGAAAGAGATGGAGACAAATATTTCACAGTGACATTTGCGGGAATGTAACGATGTCGACCGGAGTTATAACGCGACTCGCCGGTTTGTGGTTCCGAGTCTCTAACCATTTAGCTACACCTGTGCATCTAATATCATAAATCGAGCTAAAACATGATCGCAGGAAAAAAAATCAATGACTTTGTTTTGAAAAGCGTTTCAAATTTTCTGTTTCTCTATCCACCAATATTTTTCAGACACACACACACACGATAGAGAAACACAAAATTTGAAACTCTTTTCAAATATATATATATATATATATATATATATATATATATATATATATATATATATATATATATATATATATATATATATATATATATATATATATAAATGATATGTGTTTAAAATAAACGAAGAATTCTAGTAAGATATCCTTAATCATTTAATCAAAGTTAGGTAATCAAGATCCTATCCAAAACGATACCCGGATGTTGAATGATGATTTCAAAAGAGAGCAGGTCTTTCTTACTTTGAAAATTGACGCAATACAATCCAAAGTCTCCTTGTTCTTCACCAAGTTAAACTTTGTAAATATCATCTAACATATCAACAGCTCTCACTTTGAACTCCATGGTCCTTTCGATGTCTGCATAGTATGTGCTTTACCAGGGCTAGATTTATGGCTTTGAATTTCTTTGGTCCTTCTTTTAGATTGGTTGCCAACCTCGGCTAAAGATTCCAGTCTACTTTGGTGTTTAAACCATAGCTAAGAGATGGGGGAGAAGTGATAGATTCATAATTTTCCCAAGGTTATTTGCGTAAAAATAAAATATAACACAACACTCCGATTTCTTGTTCCGAACTTCTAACCATTTAGCCACATCTGCGCATCCTAATATCATAAATCGAACTAAAACATGATCGCAGGATAAAATCAACGACTTTGTTTTGAAAAGAGCTTCAAGTTTTGTCTTTCTCTATCCACCAATATAATCATTTTCAAAGCCAGAAGAATCCTCAACATTAAAACCTAAAGAGTGATCATTTTTACTGATGGTGCCATCGCTTGTTAACATCTGTTTCATCAAGGAACTTTTTAATGCCATATTTCTTATAAAAATTCCCAATGTTTGATTGTATGTTGATAAAGCAATTCCTTTTTACTATTTGCACGATATTAGCATCCACTGAATATAAAACTCGGGGTGACAAAGTATAAAGTTGCTTTCATATTGACGAGGCAGTTCCTGCAGATAAAAATGTATCTTTGAAGATCTTCAGAAACTATATCACAATACAAGGATCTTGACGTGGAACTATAATAAAAATGTGACACATACACATCAATAATTCCAGAGTCGTTGGAGCCCTGGGTTTGATTATATGAAGTTCCGATAGACTCATTGAAAGGATTCCTGGTAGACCATGTCTTAAAGAAATGCAAAATAAGTTTGTCAAATGTAGAGCCGATACCTTATGAAGGGTGTTATCAATGTACATGATCTTAAGTTGTTCATTTTTCTTTTAGTTTTTAATTTTTAAAATTAAACTTAATATATTCTGATCAACTGTTGAGTTATAGAGGTGTAAACGCCGGTGTTAAAATTATAGCCAACAGTAGAGAGTATTATAAATAAATTGAGCCTATGAGTAGCTTCAACTTCATATATTTGACACAGAGCGCATTTATGAATAATTTGTAAGTACGTTTTATATTCTACTAAGCACGGTCTTATAATTCTATGGGTGATTTTAGACAGCAAAAGAATTCTAGAGATATTGAGGAAAATTAAAGTAATAGTTGAAAAATTGAAATATTCGTGCATGAATTTAACAATTTGAAAATTTACGTGAAATATATACGTATGTTCTGCGACATATTAAAAAAGAAACACAAGCAAGACAGCTATTTTGGGGAGTCATTGTTCAGCCTACTTTGCAAATAAATATCAGATTTTTGACATTTCGAGGAAACCCCTGAGGAATTATTGCTCCTACTTATTTTGCTATGAACTTGCAAAAGAATTGGCAGACCTTTAATCTGTTTCTTAGAAACCATTTTTAAATTCCTTTGACCGTATGCTTTGGATCATAGGCTTGTTAAAAGATCCACCTCCATTTTCATCTTTGCGAAGAGAATACGTAGACCTATAATAAAAGCCATTACATCGTTCCAATCAAGTGTCTAAATTCGTTTTTCACTTCACTGTATCATTCTATTCCACTGTTTTTAAATCAGTCTGTCTATCTATCTATCTATCTATCTATCTATCTATCTATCTGGTGTTGTATCTCATCATAAATTGGTGTTTATGCCTAGAAGCGAAATGAGAGGCAAACATAACCTCCAGTAACTTATAGAAAAAGGCAGCTGGATGATAATAGCTTCGGTTATTTCCCTTTATAAAGAATCGGACAACGCCAGGCATGATAGCAATTTGCTATCGTTACGCGTCGCTAAATCTACAGAAAACGCGTTCTTACGTGTACAAAGCTTCCATATGAAGCTTACGCACTTCTTCAAGATAAAGGGATGAACACGGCAAATATCAATCCCGTCTTACAAGGGTGGCACTAGTTGTAAAAAGCATCAGTTCCTTATTCTGGTTTAAATTTTTTTTTTCTTTGCGCATCGAATCATTTTAAATGAAGTTTACTGACCCAATAAGATCAAAGAATGGATATGTGTCAACTAGAAGCGCATCCCAGATCTGGCCTATGGATTCCTGTTATCAAAATCAAGTAACTCCAAAAATTTTAGTACCTTGGCAGGTTTTTTAGAGAGTAGGAAATATGTGTATTAAAATCAGAAGGCGCAATGGAATAACGAAAGATGCCTTTCAAAAGTTAAGCAAAGTATTAATAAATAGGCGAATTAAAAGCAAAGAAAATAGTTTCTGAACTGTTATGTAATATCAGTCCAACAATATGCTGTGAATGCTGGATAAAATTCTCCCTTAGCTGTACACATATCATTCTGGGCAAACTCCTCACAGATGAAGTAGAGACTTGAGGCAACAGAAATGTAATCCTACAGAAGGATGCTGAGAATACCATGGATTTAACATGTCAGTTAAGGGGATGTTTTGGAGAAAATGGCAAAAAGGGATACTAATACTTAACATTCAAAAGAGACAGTTGACATATCTACTTAGGAAAGAGGGTTGGAGAATTTGACACTCACAGGACATATTGAAAGCAAGGGAGACAATGGGAGGCAACATGACACCGACCTAACTAGCTTGTGTAAATCGATTGCAGAACAAGAATCAGTAGGAATGGGTGGTAAAAAGTCAAAGCTTACTAAAAGCTGGTAACGGTAGGAAGTTGTGGAGACTCATGATCATTCACCTCCTTAAGAGACATGATGGCAGAAGATGTGAAGCGCATTCTCAAGATTGCGCATTTAACAGACAGCTACATTGGTATGATTTATAAAATTTGATGCTGTTTCGATAATATATATATATATATATATATATATATATATATATATATATATATATATATATATATATAAAAAAAAAGAGGTTATAGTGGTTCCAGTGAGAGAAAAGTGTGTATATTAAAAAAAGAGAAGAGAGATGCCGCAAAAGTTTTTGGTTGTAATGTGGATTTTTAAAAAAAAATATTATACTTTATTTTCCATAATTTTACTACACGTGTTTCTGGTCCTGCGACCGTCTTCAGGTAAAAGGTGGAGATTTCCACATATTATTAAAAATAATTAATTTTTCTCCTTTATGTTTTTCGATGTTAAATATTCTTGATATGAGACATACTCTGTTTTTGTGTTAGTAATCCGAATGTCTTTCTTGAATTGAATCCACATTAAAACCAAAAAACGTTTGCGGTACCTCTCTTCTCTTCTTTTTAAATATTTTAATATATATATATATATATATATATATATATATATATATATATATAATTTTAAGCAATTTACTTCAAGTAAGGCGATAGTGCCACTAGAACGCAAAGGGCTACAGAGGGTGTAAGGAAAAATACTGAGTATGAGGGGGGCGTGAGTAAATGATAAAAAGGAGAATGGAGGAGGATTAAAAGAAGAACGGAAATCAAGAAGATTATAGTCATCAGTGAAGCAAATAAGAGGAAGAGAGTTCCACTGTCGAGAAGTGCGAAACGAGAAGCTATTGGAGTAAAAGATGCGGTGATATTTAACTGTTTCGACAGTAAAAGGGTGGGACCGAGATGCCTACCTAGTAGCACGCTTAAATTCATGCAGTTTGTGTTACAGTTTTTTTGTGTATATATATGTATGTGTAACTAGTGAGTTAGTCAAAATGACTTAATTCCCTTTATAGTCTACCAATAGAAGATTAACCAATCAGAAGCCGCAGAACATTGTATCCGTCGTGTATAAAGGCGGCCATTTTTGTTTACCCTACCCGAATGACCAGAGCCAACTTGTCAGGGGAACACGACAAAAGGAAGACCTACGCTCTGCTACTTGCTGCGATATCCACTGCGAACCTGAACTACACTTTCCTACTGTCTCCGAAATATTCACTGCCAAACTCTGGATTCTATACTCGAAGACGACCGTCATGAATTTGTAACAGTTTGTGCGCCAGTGAAAATAATGCGTCAGAGCAGATGCCATGAAAATGTTTATAGAAAAGACAGAGGGAAAGCCACATTACGTCGGTGAGAAAGTGACTGTAGCCAATATCCCAAGTGATGATCGATCACATTGCATATCCGTCTTTGGATTTTGAGATAAACAACGGGGGAACAAGATCGTATATGGCAACAGTATTCCATGCATGGACGAATGGCAGATTTGTAGATGTGAAGAATGGACTCAGACAAGTAAAACCTTCTGTCCGGAAGACGTTGTTGGTTATGATAGCACAAAGTTACAAGTCATCTTGACCGAAGGATTGAGCGCTCTCTTCAGAAATTATGTCCGCTGAGTATAGATGCATCATACGTTTAGGTCTGTGAATTTTGAAGAAACACAAATGTTCCTGAGCACGAACCTGCAACAGGGATTAGCTTGTTACTATGGCAGAAAACGACGGGCCAGCCCTAACGATTAGAAAAATTATAACAATAATATTATTATCAGGTTTAATTTCTTTAAAATAGTTTTGTCTATTGAAATTTAGCTTTGTATAAAAAAAGTAATTTCTATTTAAAATAGTTTTTAAATTCCAGTATGAGATTTTTTTAATCATTTCACCCCAAGCAAGGCAATAAATCCACTAAGAAGCAAGGGGTTTATTGAGTGTGAGAGAATGTGATAATATACACTATTACAAATAAAAAAGAACGGGAATTAAAAAGATAACGATGACATTGCATTTAAAGATTTGAAAATCAAACACATGAAAGCAAGAAGCCTGAAGAGAGTTCCACAAAGAAGTATGTGACAAAAGTAACTGATAGTATAGAACTAGTATAGAACTTACGGTTACATCTAGACATTTAAATTGAGACCTTATTGCCAATCTAGTACTGCGCATAAATTCATAAAGTCTCAGGAGCATAGGAGAAAATTCATCAGAACGATTACCATTTTATTTATAGAAAAGACATAGAAACGCTACGTTACGGCGGTTGGAAAGTGAATGAATGACTGCCTTAAATAATCAGGTCGACTGCATAAGATGAAGAAACGGGCCGCCTAAGATAATCAGTGAGGCCGCCTAAAATGATCAAGCGGGCCGCCTAAAATGATCAAGCGGGACGAATAAAATGATCGTTATAAAATCCTAAAATGATCATTAGGGCCGCCTAAAATGATCGTTCGGGCCGCCTAAAATGATCATTAGAGCCGCCTAAAATGATCGTTAGGGCCGCCTAAAATGATCATTAGGGCCGCCTAAAATGATCGTTAGGGCCGCCTAAAATGATCAAGCGGGACGAATAAAATGATCATTAGGGCCGCCTAAAATGATCAAGCGGGACGAATAAAATGATCGTTAGGGCCGCCTAAAATGATCGTTAGGGCCGCCTAAAATGATTAAGCGGGACGAATAAAATAAGCAATCAGGGCGTCTAAAATAATCAACCGGGCCGCACAAAATGGTCAGGCAGGTTCATAAGATGTTTTAGTTAAAACGAAAATATTATTACTATCAATACAATAAGTGGTGTAAGTCTTTGTCAATATGGGTAACGGCTTTCTAAACTTCCCCTAAGCAGCTCTAGATCTAGGTATATAGTAGCCACTAGTTGCAAATCCTTGTAAGAAACTTAATTTGTCCTTAGGATTGGAGCATGAAATTAATGACTGAAGACACTTATTGACTAATTTGACTGTGCAGACTTATCTCAATGAGACTTATCTCAATGAGACTTATCTCAATGAGACTTATCTCAATGAGACTTATCTCAATGAGAATCTACCAGAAAGTTGGATTGGGTGTGCCAGTGATAATGACAATGTGCTGTTGAAATGGCCACCACGTTCTCCTGACTTGATACCTTGTGACTATTTTTCCATGGGGTTATGTGAAGGAAAAGGTTTTTATCACCCCTCTTCCTACAAGTATAGAGGTACGTAAGCAGAGAATCATAGAGGCACTGAAGAATGTTACGCAAGGCGTGCTACAGAGTGTTTGACAGGAATTGGACTACCAATTTAACATGTGTCGTTTCACAGGTAGTGGCCATATTGGACATTTGTGAATCTTTGTAAAATCGATTTTAAAATCTACATCCCTTAATATCTTGCTCGAATTTTGATAAATAAATCTTTTATTGCTCAACATGAAGCCTCTTTAATTTCATTTACCTGAAACCACAAGTTTTTCAGATATTCACATTTTAAATGCTGTCACAGGGAACACTTTATATATATATATAGAGAGAGAGAGAGAAAGAGAGAGAGAGAGAGAGTAAAAGAGAGAGAGAGACGTGGCGACTCCGGAGGTCGGGCTCGTGGAGCTCAGCCCGAGTGAGTCAACATTCAAGTATATCCATTTTAAACCAACAAAATATTTTCATGGTGCGTCGTCTTCATTCTTTACTTCAGCTGGGTCCAAAATTAATTGCTCATGGTAAAGAAGGAGAGAAGAAAGAAAAAAAAACACAAAGAAAAAATAAGTAAAAGAGATGAAATAAAATTAGAATAAAAGTAGATCTTAGCCTGAATGGAGACATACTTAATAAGCAATGCATTTCTTGCTTTAATTTTATAAACAATCTTTTAAAACTCTCTAATGATTTGTATGCCCTGTTTATCAAAGAACACATTTTTATTTCAACATAGTTTTTTCAAATGTCTATTTTAAATAATTTATTCCGTACAGTATAAGGTTTTTAGCGGAATGTATCTTCTGATTAAATTTAGCCCGACATTAAATTCGGTGGCGACTGGATGGTTGGAATGAGGAGAGTGACTGGGGTAGTGTTGAGGAAATATGATATCAGTCAGCAGTACTGATCATAAACGTAGAATAAAATTGACAGACAGAAATACATAAACACACAGACAGAGAGATACATAAACACACTGACGCATAAACATATATACAAACACGCACGCGAGATAGATACACAAGTAATTTTAAAAAAAACAAAAAAAGCATATGGTTTCACTCGTAGATCACGTGAAAGACCACGAAAAAACTTGAACAGAATTTACATAACACGCCAGGCCCTTTACAGATCAACTTGATTTGCCGCGTCTGCAATAAGACTTGCAAGTTACTTGCTGGCTTCAAGAGTCATTGTCATTCTCCCGGGAACTAACACCACAGCTCAAACTTGTCAGCGATGGTCATACTCTTTCAATGAGTCAACATGTATCTTTTTTTAACGTGTACACAACCCAATTCATACATACCTAAATGCATATATCTATATATATGCTATAAAATAACACGTGACGTTTACATTATCAATTAAATTTTTATTAGTCTGGTACAAGTTCACATTTATAGAGCACAGGGTACCTATACAAGGCTCAGATTAGACCAAAAATGAACCATTGCTTTTATATCTAAGCTGGAGCTGCTCTAATTACTTTTTCCAGTCTTGTTAAATTTCCAAATAGTTTATGGATAACGAACCCAACTGGAATTGGAACTCGATTAACAATTTAGCACCTGATATTCTCAAGCGCTCACCCATCTAGGTACTGACCAGACTGGACGTTGCTTAACTTCGGTGATCGTACGGAACCAGTGTTTTAAACGTGACCGTAACCCTGAACGATAAGAGAAATAAACTTAAACTCTGGAAATTGATACTGATCTTGCATTGGAAATGTAAATCAATTTCTGAGTCAGTCAAAATATCTATAGTTGTTATGGGACAATCTGGGCTCAGGAAAAGTAGCGTCAGTATCTCTTTATGTTGATTTAATGCCAACGATGCGCACCTTTCTATAAACTGCCTTCGTGAGCAGGATCTTTTGTTTACTTATTTATTTAATTCAAATATTTAAAAAGAAAAAAACATTGGAGAAAAGAACATATCTATTTTGTTTTGGAAATAAAAAGGTTAATACTCAAGCCGAACTGACGCGTTTCCCCGGAGCTTGTCATGATATCCGACTTCACAATGACCCTAACCTTGTCTATACTGAGTTCACCTCCATCTCATTACCATATGGAAATAGGTAAGTAATACTTTTTTCCCATTCTCTTTCTAACCATCTCCGCGTCTAAGGGAAAATTCCGTATTGTTTTAGGTCATTTTTCCTCTATTTTTTATTGGTTCATTCCAACGCAACCATGTTTTGAACATTAAATCTGATTTTGTTTATCAGAATCAGGATCTAAAAAGAAAGCTACGAAAAAAGTACGATTCAGCTGCCTCTTCCTAGTGTTATGTACACAGAAGCAATATCCGTTGTAGGCAGAAAAGTTCATAGGATGATTATGAAGGGATTATGCTAGAACTGTGAAATCTTGCATGCATTAGTTTCAACTCTTCTTATTTATAATTGCATTGCTTTTCCAGATAAACTGATATCTGATTGTTCAAAGAATATTTCCAATGTAACTAGTAGTGACTTCTCTTGAAAATGGACAAAATTTAGCATCGTGATGTTATCAAATTACCTGCAGAGAAAGGGTTTAGCCCCCAGTACGGGGTTGCTATATTAGGAGATGGCGCTCCAAATTAACAGTGCAAAAGTTTTCAGCTGAATTTAACACAGAAAGGGAAAGTCTTGAAGATGACCCAAATCTGAACCTCTTGCAATTGCCAACGCTGTGGAAAACATTGATTATTTTCACCACATGATAATGGATGACAGGCGATTGACTATCAATCAAATAACCAATGATATTAGCATATTCCGTGATATAATGAGAATATTGTACGCAATGAACTTGGCATGACAAAGGTTTCTGCTCGATGGGTGCCACGTTTTCTGACACCTGATAAAAAAAGCAAGAGGCTGAGTACATCACGGAAAACCATGACAGTGTTTGTAACAGGTTCAGGTGATTTGAACGTTTCCTAACCCAAGATGAGTGTTGAGTTCATCACTTTGAGCCAGAGACAAAGACACAATCCATGCAGTGGAAACATCCCCTCTTCATCTTTTCCAAAGAAAGCCAAAGTCGTTTCTTCTGCAGGAAAGGTGATAGACTCAGTTTTTGAGATGCAAATAGTATTGTGTTTATTGACTAAGGAACACACCTTACTATGCTAACTTGCTGAGAGAGTTACGAAATGCTATCCAAACTAAACGCCCAGCAAAAACTGATGAAAAGTGTCTTGTTTCATCAGGGCAATGCACCAGCACACGCCCTTGATTTCATTGGCAGCTGTGCGTGACAGTGGCTTTAAACTGGCTCATTATCCGCCTATTCTCCTGCTTTGGCTATCATCTGTTCCTCATCATGAATAAACACTTGGCTGGGAAACAGAATCTTAGTGATGGTGACATCATATATGCTCTCGATGATATTTTTTTTACCAACAGGATGAAGACGCATCTTTGAACAGCCAGATGTCAGTTTACCTGGAAAGAAACAATGCTGTTATGAATAAAAAGAGTTTAAATTAATGCATGCAAAATTTTATAGCTCTAACAGCATTCCTTCATACTTAAACTATGAACGGTTCAATCGACCCTCATAGAGCCGAATTAGTTTAAAAGACAAGATGTTCTAATCCTGTACGAAATATCGTAATTTTTGTATCGATAGAGTTTAAATAAGATATAATTTTTATTATAAATATCTATATGATGGCAGCCAACTTATTGTCGAGTATGACCATGCCAAGATATCATTGCCTGTCTCACTTGTGACTAACGATATCAAGAAATGCCTGTGCATGAAATTTTTAAAGTGTAGAAGACGCTGCAGAGGGTCAGTCTGACTTTCTGAACAATGACAACACGCATCCGAAGATAAGAACCACACAACGTCATTAGTTGTTATGAACCTGCAGGTGTTACATCAACGGTTTCCTTCTCCCAGCTGGGTATCTTAACGAAGACTAAGAAGCCCAACACTCCCAGTGGGCTTACCACGCGATTGGAAACCAACCCAGGTATAACTACATCTCCTCGCCTGAGTTAGATGGCCGTTGAAAATATTCATCATCCCTTTGACAGGTTTAAAGGTCTGGCGAGAGAATCGGTTTAATCAACGATAACTCAATCATGCAATAGTAATT